GCTGGTTAAAACATTAAAGCAGGGGTCCCCAAACTACGGCCCGCGGGCCGGATCTGGCCCGCCTCCACATTTGGTCCGGCCCCCTGAACAATACCAGAGAGCGTTCAGATTTTTTTTCATTTTCCGGTTTATATGTGGATTTTTCTTCAACCACCAGGGGGCTCTTTAGCAGGAACTGTGGGTGTTTGGATGTTTCTCTTTAGCAGGAAGTGTGTCCTGTAAACTGTGGGTGTTTTGTTTTGCATGGTGCATTGCTGCCATCTGTTGGACTTTTAGGGAACTGCTTGACTTCTATATTTAATCAGTACGGTTGTTTGCTAGCGGTAGAGCAGATGAACACGTGTCTGTTATGAAGGACGCATTCCAAGTTAAATTCTTCGAAGCGATGCCTGTAAGTAGCAACTTATACTTCACAACGAGCCTTTATATTAACATATGAGAAATTAATATATTATAGTTACAGTCCCTCAATGGAATATGTACTAGTTAGTCCCAGTGACCGTTTCACTCATGGTTTTTTCCCATGTGCTTTCTGGGTAAAAATCAATCGAGAAACCCCCCCCACCTCCGGCAACAATTTCCGGCCCCCCACCAGAGAAGGGAAAAGTTATGTGGCCCTCACAGGAAAAAGTTTGGGGACTACTGGTGTAGATTAACAGACTCTGCAAACAGCATCATTCAGACTTTGACCAATCCTGTTCAAAGCTCAGTGAGGTTCTTCTCCAGTTTGTGGAATCACTGGCGGATTAGTTTATATGTCAGTGATTGATTATTTCATTATATATTTTTTATCTTTCTTCTTTTTATTGTTCTTGTTTTGTCTGTTTATGGACCATAATTGTGTCTAAATAAAGATGATTGATGGATTGATTGATTGAATCCAAGTTAAGAGGCTTAGATTGGGCCCCATAAATGCTAATATTTTAACACAGACCACAGATATATAAATGCAACATTTGTAATTGAGATCCTCAATGCTGCTAAATTTGATTGAATGGTATCAGTATACATGAATTAAAATATCTTAAACTGTTTAACATTTAAATGTAAGACTTTAAGGAGCTGGCAAGTTTACTTTGTAAAAGTTCAAAGAAGAATATTCATGTAGGAACACATAATCTCCACATAAATGTGTACATAAGGTTTCGAAAGACAGCAGGAAAAGTGGAGACACCAACACCAATAAATAACTGATTAGCACTGGTCCATCTCGGCATCCGAAGCACCATCCTCATTCCGTCATTGTATGCCACTTTGAGCTTCTGTAAATTGCTCTGTTTATACCGTCTCCACAAAGGAGTGCAGTATGCTTTAAAAAGAGCTACTTTCACTGAGACAGAACATATCCCGAATTTGCATACCAGCATGTAGGCTTGTGCATACATTAAATTAGGTTGTCTGTTAATGTCCATATCATCAGTCAGATCATCAGCTATATAATGTCCCAGGTATCTGACATTAGTACACACTTTAAGAACAACACCAGGTAAGGAGAAGTCAGGGAGTACCAACTTCTGATCCTCCTTGGTTCTTATAATCATAATGTTACTTTTCAATGCATTGTACATAATGTCATACTTCTGACCATATTGTCAGCAGGTCCTCAATAATTGTTGAAAACCACCACTACAAGGACTAAAAATAACTAAATAATCAGTATACATGAGATGGTTAATTATGGTCCCACCAACAACACACCCTGTCCCACAGTTCTGTAGCCACTTTAATAAATGGGTAACACTTTATTTGAAGGGGTATGAATAAGACTGACATGACATCATAAACATGACATAACACCTGTCATGAACATCAGTAAGTTTTCATGAATATTCATTACTGTTGTCATAAAGTGTCATTCGGTAAATCATGACACTTTAAACACAAAGTTGACATTATTCAAAATGTCTGTTATGACAACTTGACATTAACCAAGAATCATATGTCATAAATATGTCATATAGTAGTCATAATGATTTAATTGTTAATACACTATCAAAAGCTTTAACAAAACAGTAATTGATATTCCCACTACCTGAAATAAAGCGAAACAAGTGGGTGTAACAGAGAGAAAAGCTTGTGTGTGTCTGTGTGAGTTTTGATCAAAATGATTGCAGAGTTGTATGTCTTTTTGAGATTTTTGATCAATGCGTTTGTTTGGAGCCACCTAGTGGTGTGATTGGTGACTGCATGCAACGGTCCGTCAGGCTCTCTCGCTGCTTCCCCCACCAGAATTCTGAGGAGCGCTGGTGGAGGTAGGTGCGAGAGAGGCAGCTCTTCACGTCTTTTTTTACTTCGGGTCATATTTTTCTAGTTCAACAATTAATGAAGTACTGTAAGAATATTTAACATCTACAAATATAATTTGTAAAGTTTTTCTCGTGGTTGGGCTGGAAAAATGTGACCCCTATGAGTGGGAGCTGCGCCAGTTGGTTTTCGTGGCTGACCACTCAGTCACGACACTAACCGTGTCTTTTATTTTTCAGCCTGTCGGACCACATGCCTGCAGTCAAACCCACATTGTGAAGAGTTTTTTTATTCTATATTGTATTAGATGACCGACAACTAAACAAGAAGTTACATAGGACCAACAATAAAGATTTCATTAAGCTTTATTACACTGTCAAATGATTTAATAACAGAGTCAATAACAATTTCTTATACTTCACGTAAAGTGGAACAGGAATGACCAGTTATAAAGATGTCATTTAGTATTACAGTGTCAAATGCTATGCTAACAGAGTCATTGACATTAAGTCTTACCTCAAATGAAGTGAAACACACTGGACTACTTATAACTACCATCATAACTGTAGAACAAACCCTTTGTACATTGGAATAAAACAAAAGATAACTTGTTTTTCAAACACAGGGTTTAACGTCTGGTCAGTATATTGTTACTCTGAAATACTGATTGAAAAACTAAAACAGAATTACTTATTCTTTAACTTAAGAAAATAGGTTCTTTCAACAGTAACATTTTTTGCTTTATGTCAGCCATCTCCTTCGTAATAGTCTTCCTGTAATGCTCTGAAAACAGGAGCTCTTCTTCTTGTCTTCATTTCCTGGAAGCAGCTCTTTGAAGGTGTCCAGAAATGCTCAGAAATTACAGCTGTTCTTGCAATAGTTAATCATGGCGAAAGCCTGTTCATGAATTCAAACTTGGTGAATCTCTTCTGGACATTCTCGTAGTCGGTGATGACTCAATTCATTGTGGTCACTTAAAAAAGAACAAAAACAAAAATTAATGTCATCATATTCCAGCATTTATTTAAATACCATTTCAAAATTGTCCCTTGCTGCACACTGTCAGAATGGTAGACTGGCAGACAAATGCCTGATTAACATGACTGGTTGTTATAAAGTGCAATACAATTATTTCTTAATACAAATGGAATAGTAACTGGAGCTGAACAAAATTATTCTGATCAAATATTTGTCTGGCTGAAGTTCAGACAGACTGCCACTGTTGTTATTCAGAATGTATAATTTAATGTATAGTTTTAGGCACACGAGTGTATCTTTTTACTTAATGAGCATTCTAAATTATTTCTAACCAGATACTCTAACCTAGGGTTGTTTTCAAGAAGCTTATTAATAAATAAATAAATTTAACATCAGTTTTAGTTGTCTAAAACGTAACTTAACTCAGCTGTTTATTCCTGCTCCCCATTCCCCACTTACCTGGCTGTCCCACCCCACTTCACATGGTAAAAATATTAACAAAAAAACGACTTACCTAATTTTCTTGGGGAATATTTCATCTG